ATTAAATATAAATTAATGGAAAAAATACAAAAGAAACTATAAACTGATTTGACAATATTACAAACAAAAACAACCTCCAGGAGAATGACTCGTTACGGCTTCTCGGGCTAATGTTCTCAGCTGACATGAAGCGGAAAGTCTATACTGAATCCATTGCTAGGATAGCTGCGAGAAAATTTTCTCTTCTGAATCTGTGTTGCATATCTATAAGTCTACCATTCATTTGTGCTTTTAATATTGCTGTAACATATGATATGATGCTACTGCTATATATTTAGAGGTATCTGATAAAATCCAAAGAAGAATCAGCAATATTATTGGTCCTGATCTGTTATCTCGGTTTATGTCACTTCTGCGCCGCTGGTAAGTTGCTTCTCTCTGCCTTTTCTATAAATACGTTCATGGTAATTATTCCGATGAGCTCTTCGCTATGGTACCTAGACTTTACGAATTTAAGCGCAGTACTATATTAGCAACAAGATCTCATCATTTTACAATTGAATTGGCTAGATGTGACCGTAAGTTCTATGCCGACAGATCCTTCTCTCACACTCTCCGCTTGTGAAATTCTCTTATGGCTTCTTGCTTTTCAGTCAGCTTTCATCTTCAAAAGTTTAAATGCAATACCAGTCGTTATCAAAAGTCTTCCTGATTACTTTCTATTGTTCTCGCTCTTTAATAATGGTTCATTTTTCTAATTATGCCATACTCAGTAACTCCTTGTGTCTTAGTGGCTTTAGTCTCTTGCACGTGGTGAATTTGATTAAAAAAATACGACATGAAATGTATTTGAACTGCTGGGAAAATCGACTTAAGAAAAAAAGTTTTTAATATAATCTGCAACATTTGCCGAATTAAGCAAATACACAAAATAGAAAAGGGAGTGCGAGACGGAGAGAAGTTCCTATGTCGAATGGAAGACTTACAATGATTCATTATCAGACAATGTGGATGATATTCTGTTGATGGTGAACCTGGATGGAAAATTGTAAGAACTTAACATTATAGTATAACAGGTACCTCCAAAGAAAAGTTAAACCTAATGTTTAAAATGAATTTTTAAGAATGAAAAATCTTTGTTGAAGCTTTTACTTTAGTTTTAATTTCAAGCTAATAGATTAAATTTAATATTACCAACAAGTAAAATACTTTGCTGCATTTCAAAACAAGTTTAAATTGACTGGAAGGAAAAGGTATTTCTAGAAATCGCTATTAATGACTGATATTAGACATTTTTAATCTGTCAGCACAATGTAATTCTCATAATGAAAATATCTTAAAAATATTTTTGTGAAATTTTATTTGAGGAATATTTGATTTAATGTTTCATAAATTACTGTTATGGGACCTTACCCATAATAACATAATGGACTATTCGATACGTAATAAATACTGCGCCTCAAGAGGAAGCAGGGAGTGCAGTCTGAAGTCTGGATTGATGTCCGTCAGAAGTCCGTCAGGTGTCTGTCAGTCAGTCAGAGCGAGTCAAGAGTCGAGTCAGAGGCAGTCCGAAACAGAGCCGCGTTCAGACAATTACTACAAGACATTGGAATAGTGATAATGGTCGAGACTACATTGTTCTCCCTACTAAACCTGATTGTTCGTACTAACACTTTCTACTTCTCTGTATATATTCCTGTTTGTAATATAGCTGTGTTATTCCATATACGTGTTCGGGTTCTTCTTTATTGGTTCTACCTTGGACTATCACCGTGGTACAAGGAACCGGACCATAACAATTACTTCATTTAAGTTTAAAATATCGAAGAAATGTATTCTTTAACAGGGAGATCAATGTTTATTTGACTGACAACTGGAAGTTTGTCTATGTTTTTAACGGTGACCATTTATATAAAAATTTCTTGAGGAATATATAATATTGCTATTCATTAGGGCTAGTACAGCGCATGCGACTGTCGTGGGAAATATGTAACTAATTTGGCCCATAAGTAGACCTTTATGTAGACAAAACACACAGGCGAGAAACAGCACAAATCAATCTATACAATGAAACTCAAGAATGGCAGATTCAAAAAAAATTTCTTAATTGACTCTTAGCACCAATTCTGTTTTCTGGATATCCATACGACTGACAAAGTCTGTGTCATTTGGATTAGGCGATGGAGTAAATATTCAGTGGGAAAAAAGGTTTCTTTCTTGTGTTCAATGAAGTCTATTTGCAGAGAAGACTTATAGACATAACACGTTGAAACACCCGTTCCTGTACGATCACTGTTTAAGGAACGTCGAACCTGCTCAGTACCTCGATAGGTGACCACTTGGGAATACCAACTGCTGTAAGCTTGGAGGTGTAATAGATAATAAGTCGGAATTAGAAATCGGAGAGCTGAGTTCCAGTCGCAATCGGATACGTTATATTCACTAACGTGGAAATCCCCTTGAGAAACGTATGAATCCATTTATTCTCCCCTCAGCTATGGTTTAATTAGTAAAACGTGTATCAATAAAACTATTATTATCTACAAAATAAATTATAAGTATCTAAAAATATTTTCTGGCTTTAAATAACTCGCACGGGTTTGATATGCCTTAAAAATCAGAAGAGAAGACGGAGCAATGAAAGAAAGTAAGTGAGAAAAAATGAAGAAGAAAGAAACCGAAAAAAAAGTCTAAGGGACCAAGAAAGAAAGAAACTGTTGAGGGGTTCTTCCCTCTTTACACAAATCGACTCACCCAGGGTATACATATACTACCTTGCTAGTGAATACCCGGAAGGAGCGAACGAGAAAGAACGATGAACGAGAAAGAACGTAAAGAGCAAGAGTCACAGTGAGCAAGCACGTAGACACAGTAAGAAGTCATACAGTGATACGCCGATACCAAAGACTATATATATATATATATTGCTACTAACCCGCATTCCTGGAACTACTAACCTGCCTTACCAGTTTGTATTATTACATTAATATATTTATTTTCCTATATTCCTTCTTGGCGTTTGTTATTTATTGGTACCGGATTTCATCCCAGAATCCACAACAACTTGGCGACGAGGACTTCGAATTCACACGGATTAAAAAAAATTCTCTCTCGTCGACCACAACAACTTGGTGACGAGGACTTCGAAATCACACGGAAGGAAAAAAGAAAAAAAATTCTCTCTTGTCGACCACAACAACTGGGCGACAAGTATTTCGGACCTACACGGAATCAATGGAAGAGAAAAAAAGAAAACGATAAATTAAAAGCAAAGAAAGAAAGAAACCGGGAAAAAAATTAAAGAACGAAAGAACGCGACAAAAAAGAATCAATGAAAGAAAGAACACGAAAAAGAAAGAAAGAAAGAAAGAAAGAAAGAAAGAAAGAAACCGAGGCAGGAAAATCTAAGAAAGAAAGAAACCAAGAGAGAAAATTCTGAGGTAAAAGTTAGAAAGAAAGAAAGAAAGAAAGAGAGAGAGAGAGAGAGAGAGAGAGAGAGAGAGAGAGAATAACGAGAAAAAGAAAGAAAATAAATAAAAGAAAGAAAGAAGCATAAATAATGGGAAATCAGAGAATGAAACAAAAGAGAGAAAAGTAAAAAGAGACAGTGTGAGTGGAGAATAAGAAAAGAACAAGACAAAAAGTAAAAGCAAATTAAACTAAGAAAATGAAAGTAAACAAAAAAAAAGAAGCAATGCATGAGAGAAAACAAAAAGAAATCAGCCTAAAAAAGGTAAAAATTAATAAGATAAAATAAAAAAAACATCCCAAGAAAGTATAATTGAAATCTTGGAAGTATCCAGGCATTCACGACTTTAGTCATTTTCTCATCGTCTGTCTTTTTTACAAATATTTTCATGGCAAATGCTCTGACGAGCTTTTTTTTCCTGGTGCCTCGACTACATGAATTTAAGTGTGCTACTAGATTGGCATTTAGGTCCCATCATCTTACTATCGAAATAGCTAAATGAATCACCGCTTCTAGTTCAACTTCATACCTATGGAGCACATGCTCCAAGTTAGCGGGAAGGCCAAGACTGACTTTGCATTTCCCAACTCCCATCGATATTGGAAATAATCGACATTTTCATGCTTCTACAGCAGTTTTCATGTAGTTTGCGGCCATTTTTTATTGGCCAGAGTGAGAGCCTATAGCTGGCTGCCACGAATAAGCAGGAAGATTCTGTTGGCCAGCGTGAGAGCCAACAACAGCTGACTGACACGAATGTTAACTAGCATGCTAGCATGCAAAATAAATCGATAGCTGCATTCGTCACAAGTGGGAAAAATTTAAATCTGCATGGCACTTTACTCCAATTGGCTCATTCGCTTACTTAAACTCAACGTTGATTCTGATTCCGCAGAACTGGGTTGGGTGTGAAAAAGTATTTGTTGTTAACATTCTTTTTTCATTCGGTTTTTCCAGTTACGAGTCCTTTTTTAAAGCCGATCGTTTTGTGTTCATTTTGTTTAGTTCTTTTTTCGTAACAGATTTAATGTTTAGTATAGAGCTTAGAAAAAATTCGCAGTGTGAGATAGGCAAGAAGTAAGGCATGTAGCAACATCAGCACGGCAAAGGGCACTCCTTTAAAGGCAAGGAAGGGCAAAAATATTTTAAGTCAAATGATAGCGATTGCTGTATTAGTCGTACGATTTTTGAATCAAGCACGGGCAATGCCGGATCATGCTGCTAGTAAATAAATAAATAAACCAACAAAGAAATAAACAAAGAAAGAAAGAAACACACGAAAACAAAAGAAAGAAAATGTATTTCTTAAAATTTATTGCATGAATAGAGTTAAATATTAAAGTTATTTTCCAAGAGAAGCTTAGATGTGGCACAAGACCGAAAGTATGGGGTACCCAGTGACGTTGGAAATCACTACCCAGTCGTAAATGTTCTAGCGAGACAAGCTTGCTAACCATTACACCGCCTCGAGATGCCCAAAGTCAAAAAAAATTAAAGGCAAGAAATATTGGCGGAGGAATTTTTGAAAGGCTGAAAGGTCAAGTGAAAAAAAAAAAAAGAAATAAAGAAGGAATCATCATGGCCGACTATCATGGGTACTGATCATTACACTGTTTCGCCAGCACCGGAAGAAATTTGTCATTTCTCATTACGGCAGCCCCACGAAAAAGACGACGAAGGGGTGAGACAGCCGGCCGAATGTTACTCGCATTCCTTTCTTCATCGACTCCGACTTAATTCTGACCCTCTGCCCTCTCCACCGGTATCGACTTGCCTGGTCCACAACAAAGGCTTAGAAATAATCATTACATTCGAAGCAGGCAATTTGGCTGTCGCGTGTCCGATGCAACGTTAAATAGTGCAAAGGTAGTCGAAGAATAAGCGACAGGAAAAAACGGAGGTGACCGTATGGATCCCGTATGGGCGAAAATGAATGCAGAGATACATAAATAATAGGAAGAAAATGCGAAGGTGATATTTCTGGGCGAGAATATCAACTGAGGTATGAGACTCACAGTCATCATGCAGTGTTGATTCTTATGTCCACAGTGTCTATATCAATAATGCTCTATTCTTTTTCATGAATAACGCAAATTTTAAAACGCACATATATATATATATATATATATATATATATATATGTGTGTGTGTGTGTGTGTGTGTGTGTGTGTGTGTGTGTGTGTGTGTGTGTGTGTGTATGTAAGCATATATGGATATAGATCCGACAGTATGAAGAAAAATATATACGGAAAAAACAAACAAAAATCCTTATATAAAATTATGCTGTTATAATTTATGAATATGTCCTGAAGATGGTTTATTAGACCGAAACGTCCGACGTTGACATATTAACATTAAAACAGGATAATTGCATATAAGGATTTTTGTTTGCATTTTTTCCGTATATATATTTTCTTATATATATATATATATATATATATATATATATATATATATATATATATATATATATATATGAAGAAAAATATACGGAAAAAAAAAACTTTTAAAACTTTATATAAATTTATATTGTAACTTAAAACTAAAATACACATACATATATACTGTATTTACATTTATTTACAATAATTTTCTACAGTACTGGAAGTTTTTAGGCCACGAAGAAAAGTGATTCAAATTAAAGGACAAAACGTCTTTAACGGACAGCCATTTCCCTATGAGTCCGTTAAATTGAGGTTCCGCAGCAAAAAATACGTGTTTATAGTAAAAATATCAAGAATACATTTTTATCTAAAAATATTAGCAACACTTCAGTGATCGTACGGGAATCGGTTTTTCAACGTGATGCGGTCGTCAGTCCATTTAATCAATGAATTTGGTATGGTATCAATTCTGATTTCATGCCGAAGACTTCTTAGCTTTATATATTGAAACTTAGAGAAAACGTTTCGTCTGGAAGTGGCCAACTAACCTCACGCGAGACACGTAAAATAAATGATCGGGTCATAAAATCAGGCAAATACTCGTGGCTAATATACGAATAAACCCTCTTCCATTTTTGTCCCCTTTTTACACATCATCTAGACAGAATTTTTCGTGGGCGCACGGCCATAATTGAATGGCAAGTTAGAAAAGGTGTCCATGGTGTTGATATATAGTTGACTGGTTGATATTTCAACAAATGTTGCGTCATTTAGTGTTGATTATATTTATTTATTTTTCTAAGAATTTGTTTTGTTCGGAATAGTAATAACTTGTGAATTTAAGCATTTACTTGGTTCGAGAATAGTGAAATAAAAATTTGTTTATATTTGAGTCTATAATAATTTACATGGTTCGGTAATATGTAAATTTTGGCGGTTTATATTGGAATTTTAAAGCATTGATCTTGGTTTTTGTATAAGTAAAGATTGATCAATTATATTGGACTCTGTAAGCATCTACTTGGTTAAGGAATAGGTAAATATTGGTCCTTTATATTGCTCTTTGGAGGCATCTATATGGTTCGAGAATAGTTAAATATTAGTCATTTATGCTGGTGTCCGTAAGTATCTACTTGGTAAGGGAATAGGCAAATATTAGTCGTTTATATTGGAGTTTGAGCATTTACGTTGTTTCTTAGATAAGTAAAAAATGGCCGTTGTTCATTAAATAGGTAAATAATGGCCTGTAGGCATTTACTTGGTTCGGGAATAGATAAATACTTGTTTATATTGCAGTTTGTAAGCATTTACCTTATTTCTTGGATAGGTAAATATAGGATAGGTCGTTTATATTGGAATCTGTAAGCATCTACATAGGTGGGGAATAGGTAGTTATTGGTTATTTATATTGAAGTTTAAAGACATTTATTTGGTTCGGGAATAGATAAATATCGGTCGTTTATATTGGAGTTTGTAAGGTTCTTACCTGGTTTCTTTGGGCAGGTAAATATCGTTCGTTTATATTTGAATCGGAAATGGGTTCATTTGAAATGGTTTAGAGATTGTATTTTTAGTAGCCATCAATGGATGCGGTCGCACGTAAGTTACCAAGAGTTTGGGCCCAATGACCTTGATAAAAAAAAAAGATCACTCTATATAATGCGGTCTCACTCAGAGACTGTAACTAAATCTGTTCAGCATAGTTGCAGTATAAAGACGAGAACCACCATTTGTAATCAGATTTGCATAGCCGCCTTGACAGACAACGTCGCTTGAAAAAGAGTACGAACCGGCCATTATATTTGAATTAGTTAGCGTTTCCTTGATTCTGAGAAAGGAAAATACTGATCCATTACGCCTGCGTCTATAAACCTTTACTTGGTTCTGGGATATGCAAATATTGGGCAATCAATTGTATCTATACGGTATATATATATATATATTAAAAAGAATATAGTTAAAGAATATAGTAAAAGAATATAGTAAAATAAAAATTAAAAAGGAGAATATTTCAAATCGTAGTTAAATAAAAAGTATTAGAAAAAAAAAACCCCGAAAATCTTCAAATTTAAAAAATGACGTTGAAATTTTTTTACCGTTAACAATTTAAAAAAAAAACATTCAGACGACATCCATTCAACTGATGTCAGGTTTCATTGTAAAATACATCCCTACCCCTTACCAAATTGTAGCTAATAACTGATACAATGATACTGACATAAGGAAAATCTAGACATCCCTTGTTCAATTTAAGTAGAATATTCTGTAACCATGGAAACGTGATTTTAGCTGTGTCTTTAAAACCCGGTAATTTTTAAAAGTTACTCCAAAATTCGCTTGAAGATGAAATGGAACTAATGCTTTTAATTTAATTTTTAGCTTCTATTTTGAAACATGGTTGGAACTGTGTAGCGAAAAAAAACATATTTTAAATCAATTAATTTATAATATATATATATATATATATATATATATATATATATATGCAGCCATTTGGAAAAAACTTCAGAAAACATTTTGTTTCCCAAAGTATCATGGCGGCTCACAGATAATGAATATCTGCGGAGAGTCGTGATAGTCTGAAAGAAGTTGACGTTTTTTTTTTAAAAAAAAAAAGAGCTCTAATTCGTGATACAAACCAAGGATCTTATAAAGATTTCGTCAGAGTCGTTGTTGGTAGTGATACTGAAGATAATGAAGGCACTGGTGACCGTGTTATTGTTGTTGTTAGTAACGGTGTTGGCGTGGCTTGTTCGGATTAAGGGGATGTTAGCAGTAGTGTTGTTGAGTTGTTGTTGACAGTGATGGCAGGGTCCGCGTGTGAAATTGTCAGGCATTCATTTGAAACGAATGACTCTCGAAAACAAATAAATCGTTCGGCTGGTGAATTTAGTCATCACGTTAAGGCAATTAAAGCCACTTCTGCCGATTGAGTATTCAACACTCAGGACTGGTGGTACAAACAGTCATTTTGAGCTGAGAGAGCCCGGCCCAGGAGTTGTCGATATATTCGGAGGACTGGCGAGTTATGCTTCTCAGAGGATGATGATACCAGGAACGTTTAGATAAGGGACGGAAAAATGTTTCGGTTGAACCCAGGAATTCTGCAGATGATGAAACTTCTATCATGGGTGGCATAAATAAATAGATTCATATGCTTATAAAATCATATTCTCTTACACAATTTATCTTCTTTTAAAATTTCTTCAGGACCTAAGTGATAATCACGATCACGAATCCCGTAACCGCTGAGGGTCGTTGGGGCACCACATATACTACAGCCGTAGAAACTGTGGTGCGTGTTAGGCAAAACAGTCTGACAGTGCCTAACCTTTTCAAAACTGGTTTGAATTAAGATTTCCTTCTCTTAGACTGGTTGCCAATGTTGTTATAGGGCTCAATTTGTCCTGCTATTTAACCATAGCTGATGGGAGTTGAATAGATACATTCATACCTCTCCCAAGTGTATTTGTCCATAAATGAATATAACGAACTCGACTTGAATTCGAACCCGGCTCTCCGATTTCTCACTTCGAACCTCTATATATTATCCCACCACGCATCAACAGGTGATAATGGCGTTGCAAAAATTCATTTTTCTTTATTATTTGTAAATTGACAGACATTCGTGGAAAATATCGTCGAGTGGTCTCCTGTTTCCTTTCTCCACGGTTATCAGTTCACAGTTGTTCTTCTTCTAGACTGGCGGCTACACAAGGCTAGAGAGCCTGTTAGACGACGGTATCTGACTCATAGATTTGGATGGGGAAAAAAAATAGATTCTTGCTTTTTTCAAGGGTATAACTACGAAAGGGAACGCAAGTAGATTGAAATTCGAACTCGGTTCGCTGGTTTCATTTTTCGTCCTAAAATTGATGAAGGGCTGGACGGGTTGGTTATGATATCTGTCTATATTTCTGAGATGAGGTATTATATACACTATTTACATTATTCGGACTATTGACCTCATCTTTGTCGCCATATTTATTACAACGTTTCGGCCGTTGTACGCTCCGGCCTTCTTCAGTATCTGTCTATATTTCTGAGATGAGGTATTATGTACACTATTTACATTATTCGGACTATTGGACCAGGGTTCCACCAGTTCTAGCCTTCGCAGCAAACACTCGCCATTCTACGTATATAGTATCGAACCATCCTCATTCCTCTCATATTTTCATTGGCGAGATGTAAGTTCCACCTAAACAGCTTCTTTCCACGAACCGGTGATTTTGTAAACGACTCCCAAGAGAATGCTCCCCCAAACATTACAATATTAACCTATTTAAATCTAGAGTTAACCATCATCTTCGCATTATATCCCCATAAACTGTGCCTTACTCTATAATCCTCTGCCTCGAGTGGCTCTTGGAACTTTTACATTATTGTAAAGAAATAGAGAATAAAAACACTTGTTGTACTATTGTTCAACCAATACAAGGCCGAAGAGCCACTCAAGTGGCGGTTGTGGTAGTTTCTTTACAAGAAGGGATTAAGATGTGCAGATGATGAGGATATGTATAGGATAGATAACGACTGACCCACGTCTTGAAGAGGTTAAGATTTTAGTGATCGGGGGGGGGGCATCCGCTCAGGAGTTTGTTTCACAACGTCACAGTCATGGAGAAGACGCTGAGTGGAACTCCCTCCTAATGGAATACGAAGGGAATGTGGATACGGCATAATGGGTCTTAGTCATGAGGGTGTAAACTAATCAGATTAAGGAATGTAGCCCGTATGAACATCTACCATGAATATGACGGAAGAGCCGCGAAAATCTAGCAACGTTTCACCTGCAGGAAAGGACAGGCCGGTGTGTACTATCCCCGAATCACCCAAACGGGAGAGAAGAAGCCTAATTGGAGGCCCCGGGCAATGCTTTATGACTCTCGCTATCTTATCAACATTTGTTTTTTTTACTCGCCTTTATATACGTTACAAATTAAGCTAAGCACATGTGACTATTAATGGATGAAAAATTTTCGCGGATTTTAACGTCATTCTGGGGTATTTTTTTCTTTTTTTTTGCTTATGAAAAAACACTATAAAAATTCACTATTTTTTTATTATCCATATCTAGCACTTAATTAATTAGTTTTATTAATTGTCTTAATTAGTTTTTTTTTTACGAATTGGTCTAACCCAAACTCAAACAAAAACATTGTTTTCAATCGTTATGAGTCTACCGATTGAATAGAATTTTTATTATAAACAATTGTCTTGTAAATGGAATTTTTAAAGCATTCTGAATGTAAAATAAAGGAAAAAAGTGTGCAAGACAATAAGAAACACTACCTGCCAAAAAAAAGTGATGTTTTGTTGAAATCGGTTGAAAAATGTAGGAAATCCGATCCCATATATAAACGAACAGACACACACAAACAACCTGGGTTTTATAATAAGTACAACTCGATATGAGTTGTCCCCCTTTCATTCTCGCGATGCATCTTAATCGTGTTTTCAAATTGATTTCGTGCAAAAACAATTGTGTTTTTCCAATTTTTAGCGCTGTCAGAACCACCGCAAGGTAATTTTACGTAGTCCTGTGAAGTTTTGTTGAAATCGGTTGAAAAATGTAGAAAAATCCGATCCAATATATAAACGTACAGACACACACACACACACGCACACACAACCTGGGTTTTATAATAAGTATGATTTTGAAGGTGTTACAATTATCAAACTTTTTAACTAGAAAAATCTCAAGTTGATACTGAAAAATTGACGTAAAACATTGTTGGTTTATATAAGATGAATTGAGCTTTTATGTCTGATTTGTATTTAAATACATTGTCTTTATTTTCAATTTTTCTAGTTGTACACCTGCAGGGTGCGATGGGTAAATTGTCGCCATTTAGCATTTTAAATTTCGCGCATGAGCGTTGTTTTTTTTTTTTTTTTTTTTGGTAGACTGCGCAGTATAGTAGGGTCAATTGGGTACCGTCTGTGAGAAAAAGTGCCGGAATCTCCAATACGAACATTTCAAAGTGTTTCGGTGTCAATCTGAGAATAGTGCAGAGGAAAGAGTTGGCTGATTCTAATGGTGATGACGAAGGTGCTTCGGGTGATTACTACTAATGGCGAAGTTATGCCAACATTCATCTTTCCACAGGACCTCAGACTCAACACGGAGGCCTATATCAAGTGCTTTGAGGAGATAGTGCTGCCCTTGGCCAAGAAAGAGGCTACTGGAACAGGACTCTGCACCATACCACACTAGTAGGAGAATACTGTCATGGCTCTCAGACAATTTCTGCGACCACATCACCACTTATATCTGGCAAACGTAACTCCCCAGGCTGTATCCCCTTGATTATTATGTGTAGGGCACAGTTGAGTGAGAGACCAACATGTCTATTTGTCAGACCAAAGATGAACTGAGGGCAACAATTATGGTAGCATTCACCAACTTAATCCAGGAGACCGCCCAGAAGAGGATGCTGGAGATTCCGAAGTCGTCTGGAGGCCGTGCTTGAAGCCAATGACGATAAATTGAATAAATATTTTAAGATATTTTTTTGTGTAATTGTGGTAAATATATCTGTTAAAATGAGATGTCAGTGTTATTTTCATTTTTGCCTCATTTAGACGACGATTTATCCATCGCACCCTGTATATCTGTTAAAATGAGATGTCAGTGTTATTTTCATTTTTGCGTCATTTAGACGACGATTTATCCATCGCACCCTGTATATCTGTTAAAAGGACAGGTCAGCGTAATTTTCATTTTTTGCCTCATTTAGACGAGAATTTATCCATCGCACCCTGTATATCTGTTAAAAGGACAGGTCAGCGTAATTTTCATTTTTTGCCTCATTTAGACGACGATTTATCCATCGCACCCTGTATATCTGTTTAAAGGACAGGTCAGCGTAATTTTCATTTTTTGCCTCATTTAGACGACGATTTATCCATCGCACCCTGTATATTGCATATGATCCATTATTGTACATAATTAGGTTCCAGTAAAATGTATATTTTATATGAATTCTAGGTTAGGAAAATTGAGATGTAATAGAGTAGGTGGCCCCGTATTATAGATTCGGCGGCGGGGGGCCCACGAGGCCAATGAACCGGCCCTGGGAACGGGGCTGAATCCTTTTTCTGAAGGAGAAAACATCGACAAAATTAACAGAATCGGTGAGGATCTTGTCTTTTAAATTAAATATTGATGGCCGACACTCATAATTTTGGAATATTTTTTCTTCTTGCTAATACACGGATCCCATGTGGAGAGAACAAATAGTTTACACGCACATCGAATAAAGACCTTCTCTCATCATAAAAATAGTCTTAAGATATCAACAAAATAAATACCCACAAAAAACAAAAAAAAACATGGTGCTTCATCGTTGTGCAATAAGCTTGGATCGTCGGTCATTACTATATTACTTCTTTCTTTCTTTCTTTTTTATTTTCTTCCCCTCCATCATTCACTTCCCTTTATATTTCTTTTTCCTCCTTTCTCTTTTCATTATACACTTTCTTTCTTTCTTTCCTTTTTCTTTCTTTCTTTCTTTCTTTCTTTCTTTCTTTCTTTTTTCTTTCTTTCTTTCTTTCTTTCTTTCTTTCTTTCTTTCGTTGTTTCTTTCGTTGTTTCTTTCATTCTTTCGTTGTTTCTTTCTTTCGTTCGTTCGTTCTTTCTTTTTTTTCGTTCTTTCTTTCTTTCCTTTTTCTTTCTTTCTTTCTTTCTTTCGTTCTTTCTTTCGTTGTTTCTTTCATTCTTTCGTTGTTTCTTTCTTTCGTTCGTTCGTTCGTTCTTTCTTTTTTTTCGTTCTTTCTTTCTTTCGTTCGTTCTTTCTTTCTTTCTTTCTTTCGTTCTTTCTTTCGTTCTTTCTTTCTTTCTTTCTTTCTTTCGTTCGTTCTTTCTTTTTTCTTTCTTTCTTTCTTTCTTTCTTTCTTTCTTTCGTTCGTTCTTTCTTTCTTTCTTTCTTTCTTTCTTTCTTTCTTTCTTTCTTTCTTTCGTTCATTCGTTCTTTCTTTCTTTCTCCGCTTCATTTTCTTCCGTTCTTCTCTTCTCTTCTTTTTTCTTTTCATTTCCTTCCCTCATTTCTTCCGTTTTCTTTGATTCGTTCCACTGTTTTTGCTTCCTTCTATTTCCATGTTTTCGTTTTCTTTTTTGCTCCTTTATTTATTTATTTATTTATCACCCCGGCCTAATTTTCTTCCTTCCTTTCACTTCTTTCTTTCTTGCCTTCTTAATTCATCTTTCTTTCTTTCTTTCTTTCTTTCTTTCTTTCTTTCTTTCTTTCTTTCTTTCTTTCTCCCTCCTTCCTTCGTTTCTTTTTGCCTTCGTTCAATTTCATTTTCGTTCTTTCTTTTTCATTATACATTTCCCTCTCGTTTTTTTCTCTTATTCCTATATTCCTTCTCTTTTTACGTTTTTCTTTTCCCTCTTTTCATTTCTTTCTTTCTTTTTCTTTCTTTCTTTCTTTTGCCTTCCTTTTTTTGCATCGCATTTTCTTTCTTCCTTCCTTCCCTTCTCTTCTCTCTTTCTTTTCATTATGCCCCTTCATTTCTCCCCTTTCCCTCATTCGTTCATCTATTCTTTTAACCTTTCGATTTTCATTTTCCGTTACTCTTTTTCTTTCTTTCTTTCTTTCTTTCTTTCTTTCTTTCTTTCTTTCTTTCTTTCTTTCTTTCTTTCTTGTTCCCTTTCCTCTTTCTTTCTTCCTCCCTTTCTTCGCTTCTGTTTGTCGTCTTTTCGTTTCATTTTCTATTTCCTTTATTTTTGTTTCATTATACTTTTTCATCTCGATTTTATTCTCTTCTTTCATTCGCTCCATTGTTCCTGTATTCCTTCTCTTTTCATTTTCTTCCTCTTTTTCTTTTTCCTCTTTTCACTTCTTTCTTTCTTTTTCCTTTTATACTTGTATTCGCAAACGACCCCAAAAGAACGTCTTCTCCACTTTTAATTTGTTTTTAATTTGAGGACGCCAATTGATAACTAAATCCTTGGCCTGGATCGAGAGCCATGTCAAGAGCAATATCAATTAATGAGACTCTAATTCACGATCAGCTACACTCACCACAGGTTTCAATGGTTTTTATTATTTAGCTCTTAAAATTTTATCAACCTTTTTAATGGTACTCGTGAGGCTGACCCTGTCAAGAATTGCCCCAGCCCTACACTGTATGCATTTCGAGTTTTAGGAACGTTTAGCGTTTAATACCATTCGTCCTATATGGCAGGGAATCCGGGACAATCTACTCACAGATGGGCGGGAAGCAACAGAAATGTTGTTCTACAGAAAAATGCTAACGATACCAAGAACCGAACATCTAAGGAAAGACGAATAAAATGGAAACAAAAGAACACTTATAGATCAGACAGAGACAGGTAGGTGAAAGTTTTAGGGCACATAATGAGGAACGAGATCTTTTAAATTGTTTTGATTCTTTGGAAAGTACGATACGCTCAAAATCAATGAGTTGTTTAGCTATACGAGAAGAGCAGGACGAAAGAAAAAGTGGTCTGCAAATAACCTTTGAATGACCAGTCACAAGATGGCGCAGTAATTAATCATAAAAGAACCAATCAGAGTTAAGTAATTACGCCGGAGTTGAATGATTACTCAAGGTCATGCATATTCATCAAAATTATTCAAGGTTAATAATTCCTGAATGATAAAACAGGGATAAAAAATTTGCCGCTTTTTTACTGCGCACCCTGTATTAGACGTCCTGCAAACAAACATGAAGTGAAAAAGGTGTCAGTGGTTCAGTTAGCATCTAGAATGTCTGCCTTAATAAAGTGCTAGTTTTATTTACTCTTCTTTACAATACACAAGGCCTGTTCGTCCATTGTCCTAAACATTAAGCTGCAAGTGTCAGTGTCAAGTGGTATTGAAAGTTATTTCAAAATGGCGGCGTTATTATGATTAGCAACAGTGACGAATCGAAAGTGTTAGTCACTTCTCATGTCGGTCTATTTGTTCGGTCAATAGATGTGAAATGGGAGGTGAGGATTAGTAGTGAAGTAGGCTCCTTCCTAACGTAATGTCTGTGCGGGGTGAGTCACTGTGGGTGGGCCTTGGCTACCTGTGTAACTTTGAGGTCTGAACCGTGACCGGTCGCCGAGCAGGCTGACAAACTGTCATTATGCCAATCATCTCCGTCGACATCATAATCGTCATAAACGAATATTTAAGATTTTATTAGATGTCTAAGTGGTGGGTTTGGAGGGGCGAGATCTCTGTTGTCGATTGCTTCCACAGCAACGATGGTGGTGGTTTGGGGTTAGATGGGGGACAAAGTTGTTATCGCCCAGAATATTAAAGGGTGGTTCGGAATAGATGCGATACTGGCGTCCTGAGTAAGACGATAAACTGCATCCGCGTCCTGGGTAAGACGATAAACTACATCCAGCAGCAAGGCCTCTGATCAGGAGGTTTTGAGGAGCGTGGAGCCACCTCTTAATTTCTGGCGTTTCCAGGTCCATCCTGACCCGGGGTGGTAGCACCTATTAGGGTCCCAGCTATGGGTAACTAGTTAACCCCCACAAACTGAGACCAAATTCTATGAAAGTTTAAAGATAGGTTTTAATGCTAGAAATACCTTGTAAAAAATTATTACCAGCAATAAATTTTTGAAAAAAAATTATTACCAGCAATAAATTTTTGAAGAAAAATTATTACCAGCAATACATTTAAAAAAAAAATACCAGCAATACACTTTTGGAAAAAAATGACTAGCAATAAAACACTTGTCCGCATTAAATAAACCATTGAGGTTGATATGCCGTTAAACAAACTAAACCAAACTAATAACTGTTTTATCTAATGTAGTGTCTTTAGAGATAACGGATTTTATTTTTGCTACAGTTTACCCAAAACAAGTCCCTAGCGCCACTCGAGGAAGATAGTTACTAAATGAGATACGTCAGAGGCGGAAGCAGTGAATAGAGCTTACGAGGATATGGCGGATAGAAAACAGTTGACCCTAGCCGTTAAGAGGTTAAGGTTAAGATAATAATAGTCGAGAAAGTCCCATCCAGAAAGTCGTTGTTAATGCTTTCCGAATGGAACACTTTACTTACAAAAGAAAGACGTAGTGGATACCTCGACTAATTCGCTTTAAAAAAGAGCAGACCATGATGAAAAAAAGGTCCCAAAAGTTTTATCGTCAAAAGTTTTATTGTTATTAAGAAGAAAGACCAAAGTAGTTTTTTAATTATTTTATTATTTTTTAATCCTTTCGAGCAAGTTCGAAATTTTGCTTAAAATTCTTGTTTTTCTCACGTCAGCGGAGTTGGGTGGGGACATCATAGACAATTTAAACGTCTTTTTTGCGATAAAAACACATTGAACTGGAAATTCTTGCAAAAATCAAATAATTATCGGATTTTAAAGAAATTTTCATGACTTATTCATGAATGAATGAAATTATTTTTATTTTTTTTTAGAAAATCTTGGTAAGAATATATATTTTTTTACATCAGTTATTCCCTCTTACTTAATTTTAAGAAATTTCCAGCAATTAAAATTTCAGTCTCTTTATATTTATATTAGTTAAAAGCAGAAGTCCTTGGAGAATCTAAATCATCACTTTGCTTTTGCAAAACAGAAATAGCATTTACCGAAAATCTGTTTTGAATTGTAAAGTAATAAATGCAATAAAACTAAGATATTACTTAATTAGAAAAGCTTTTAATTGCTTTTGTAGATAAGATATTGTCTTAAGAAAAAAAATCGATAAATAATTATTTCTTTCAAGAATTGTTTTAATTGTTTGAATTTTAGTTAGAATAAAAAAATTTTAAATCTTCTAAAAGTCTGTATTAATTTCAGCCTTTCAGACAATATTATTACTAAATGAAAATTATATTTAATAATTATAGAAAATCTTTGTACAAATAATCAAATACCAATATTTTAAAAGAGAATTTTGAAATTTTTATGTATGAACGGGCCGATTTTTGTATAAATGGTTGTTCATATGCGACATTATGAGAAAATAAGAGCGTTAACTATAGTAAACTAACAGGCAAAATATCTAAAATTCAATAAAACATTATATTGCTGAGTACTCAAAAATTATATTGATATGTCCCGGAAAGGGATATATTTGTTCGAAGTAGCAAAGTTGTTACTGACTACTGTAACCGGGTAGGACAATCTAGCAGGTAACCATAATGAGCGGGTCCTCGTCGTAGTGGTAGGCAATAGGCGTCCCTTGTACATCCACATCAGTCTGTATTTATGGCTGACACCAGCCAATCATATTACTTTGAGGGGGAGCCCAAGTGTATGCATATTCATTACATCATATATAAAAAAAGAAACCTATGTTATATTCTTCAATTATTTTTGACTGACAAAGCCCCCGCAGAACAGTATTAGATAAACATCCATCTTTCATTAAACTGTCAAAACCTGAGCAATTTAATAGCTACTGCTATGTTAAAAAAATGCATTTCTGCGGTATTTTGAACTTAAAATAAATAATCATTGTTTCAAATCAGATTAATTATACTTTAAATCAGCTAATATTCCTCAAATAAAGTTTCAAAAAAGTATATTTTATTTTTGTAAGATTTTTTAATAAAGAAAATTGCATTTTGACAGCAGGTGGTTAACAATAGCGCTAAAATAAAATAAAAATAGCAAATGAAATCTCCTTCCAATCAATTTAAATTCATTTTGAAATACAGTAAAGTATTATGGAAAATATTACACTTAATCTATTAGCGTGAAATTAAAACAAAAATAAAACCTTCAAGAAAGATATTTTTTTATTTTTAAAAATATATTTTAAACCGTAGGTATCACGAATCTGTGTAGCTATCTGAATGGTGGACTCTCCCGTCGTATTCGACGTATGAGGGTCAAGCAGCTCAGTTCCTAGGAACCGACAACAAGACACCAGCAGATATGATTTGATTATAGTGGTGAAGGTTGTGTGCAGAACCAACCACACTTTTTGAAGTGCCGAATAGAGAGACCTGGTGCACTACGTGCCACAGGGTCCTCAAACGACCCTCCGCAGGTTTTGAATTCAGAGTTAATCTCCTCCTAGACCAGTTCCCATCCAAGGCTATAGAACCCAGTCTGTCCTGCTATTTGCCCATAGTAAATAGGGAGAAGAAGAGGACTAATACTTTTTCCAGGGGTATTAACACGTAAGTGAATATAATGGATTCGACCGGAATCTCGATTCTCCGATTCCTCCATCTGTGCCGTTATCCACTACTCCAATGTGCCTACTCTATACCTATATACGTAATGCATATATATTTTTATATTATTTTTCACTCAATAAAGGCCCGAGCGCCGATCAAGGTAGAGGGTTACTGTGTCGTATTGCATGAACGTAAGGCAAGGCAAGAAGTGAAGTTCATGGAGCTATGCAGGAAAGATAACAGTTAACCCGACATATGAAGAAGTTAAGATCATGGTAATTGGGAAAACAACTTGCCAAGAGTCTATTTCACAAAGCAGCAGTTCTTGGAAATAATTTGTTTGAATAGAAATTTTTTCTTACTATAGAAATGCGATGGGAATGGAAATGATTCAAAATTGGGTAAGAGGCATGACAACTTCCAGGTGTAAAGGTCATGGGTAGTAATGAAGGTGATTCAACCCTGTGGACGTGGCTAAGCGCGACTTGGCCATAAAAATCTGAGAAGGTGGTATTAAAGGACGTAGTTTGTTTAAACATTTGCCACGGAGAAGAGGATGTAGTTCTAGTGATTTGGCTGTGGTAGTCAGAGTGGTGGAGTAGACAATAACGCATATTTTTCTAATGGTAAAATTTCCCAGAATAATTCTATGGATAAGACAAATTGGTACAAGAATAACAATTGTAAAAAACCTTAGATTTTGCCGACACGTTTCGTCTTCCGACTTTATCAAGTCAGACAATGAAAGCGAAATGTTTTTATTGTCATAATTACATTAAATCCAAAATTTAAAAA